CGGCCCCGCCATGCCGCCCGCCCGCGCCGATTACCTGGCGCCCTGGTGGGCGGCCTGGCTACACGGGCTGCCGCACCGCGGCCTGCGCCTCCAGCCCGTGCCCGCCGCTTTCCGACCGCGGGACCCCGACTACCAGCAGGTACCCACCCCTTCCCCGCCTCCCCTTCTTTGGGTGGGCGAGGGGAGAAACGGAGCCCTCCCCGGGCTGGGGTCCCGCTTGCCGGTGGGACTCCCCCCGCCTTTGCCCGCGGCGCGATCGCCGCTTTCATCCGGCGGCGCCCGGCGCCAGCTCTGATCTCACGGCAGCACAAAGCGCCCTTCTTCCCCGGGGGGGCAACCCTCCTCCTCCTCCTCCTCCTCCTCCGCCGGGCCAGCCGGCACCGGTCCCCCGCACCCCTCCACCCCGCCCCGGCCTCCCGCTGCCGCGGGGCAGCGCCGGCTCTGTCGGAGCCCCCACCCCACCCCTCGGGGGGGTGCAAAGGTTGGGCGGGGGGGGTCCCACTTCGCTTTGGTGCCGTGCACTTGGCTCTTACTACGGCCCCCAGCATCCCAGAGCACGGACCGCCATGACCCCTAAATTGGGGAGGGGGGGTGGCAGCGCCGGTGCCCCACATCCCACAGGATGGACCGCCCTGACCCCTAAATTGGGGAAGGGGGGGTGGCAGCACCGGTGCCCTGCATCCCAGGGCACGGACTGCTGTGACCCCTAAATTGGAGGGGGGGGCAGCGCCGGTGACCCGCATCCCAGGGCATGGACCGCTGTGACCCCTAAATTGGGGAGGGGGGAGCGGGGGCAGTGCTGGTGCCCCAGCACCCATAAGAGGGGCTGCTGCAGCCCAGCCTCTGCGACCCCCCATGGGGATGGGGACGGAGACGCTTCCTCTTTCCCCGTGTGACCGTCCCGTGAGGCGCTGGATGTGGCCGCATCCTGCCTGCTGGCTGGGTGCTCTGCAGCACGTGGCAGCCATGGTCACAGGCGCTGACTGTCCCCTCTTTCCTTCCCAGTCGCTGCTTTTCCTGGGCTTGGTGGCTGCCGTCTGCCTCGGCCTCAACCTCCTCTTCCTCACTGTCTACCTGATCTGCCTATGCTGCTGCAAGAGGGACCAGGAGCCTGAGACCAAGCGGCCCCACTCCTGCTGCGTCACCTGGATGGCCGTCACCGCCGGGCTCATCTGCTGGTGAGGACGGGGACCTGGTGCTGTCCCCCCATTACCAAGGGGGCTCTATGCTCTAGCCATGAGTGGCTTTAATTAGATCTGTGCAATTAAATATGGTCCATCCCTGCCTCCTTCCGTGCAGCCACTGATGCCGGGGCAGCCCCAGAGACCGGCTGCGGGCCAGTCCTGTCCCCATCCCTGCAACGGCCATGCTGCCTTCCCTGCTAATCCCGGGCAGGAGCGGGGCCGGGTCGCTAATCCCAGCCCGGAGCAGATGGCAGGCAGCAACGTGACCCAGCTGGCAGGTCCCACGTGCACCCAGCCTTAATTGTGACCAGTGCAATTAGGCAAGGGGACGCTTCTTCACCTGGCAGCGCTCCTGTGGCTTTCCAAGCCCGTCTCGGTTTTTGGCAGCCTGTGGCTCAGAGGACCCCTTGCCAGCCAGCCTGTGTGCCCCCCAGCAAGCCTGGCCTAGGTGGGGACGGGATGGGACACGGGGCCCTTTCGCTGCCCAGCCATGACCTGCTCGCCAGACAAAGGGTCTGGTTTTGCCTGGGCAGAGCGAGATGGCTGCCTGGGAGCATTGTACGGAGCAGGGAAATGGCACTAATGAGCTTGGCAGGATCCCCCTCCCGCTCCTCCAGCCTCGGGGCACCCCATGAAGCGTGGTGGAAGGGCTGGGGCATACGCCGGCAGGGGATGGTTCTGCGGCTCCCCTGGGACTTTGAAACCCGCCCCCCCCCTCCGGCACCACGCCGAGGCTGTTTGTGGCCATTGAAGGCTGAATCGTGGCGAATGGGCTGGTATCTGTCAGTTTTATTGGCATCTGCCGCGGGGAGGGAGGAAGCACCGCATGCAGGCACGTGCCTGGCCAGGGCAGGAGCGCATCCCTCCTCGGAGCTGGCTCCGACCTCCAGCCTGGCTTCGCCCACTGGCACACCAGGTGCCGGGGAGCATCAAAGCAGCCACGGTGAGCTCGCCACGGGGCCTGGTGCGGCCGCGGCACGGCCCCCAGCCTGCCGCCCGCCTGCCCTCCTGGGAGTGAGCCTGGGAGCAGGTTTAATCGGGAGCGACGTCGCTTCCAGTGGATTCCCCTAATCTGCTTTGCCCAGCCCCTCCGCCCTCAGTCTCTCCGGGTTTGGCAGGAGGAGCTTCAAACCTGCCGTGTCCAGCCCGTGGAGCAGCTTCAGGATCGGGCATCCCCAGGGCCCACAGGCACCGGCAGGGAGCAGGTCCCCATCGCAGTGATGTCGTTATCCCATCTGCTTTGGCTCTGCCCTGCCAGGGGTGGGGGGTCCCCCAAAACCAGGATGCTCTGGGGCGTGTCCCCTGTCCAGCTTGTGTCCCCACATCCTCCCTGGCCCCAAGGCAAGGCACCCATGTCGGGGTGAGCGTTTCCCTCCCCTCTAATTGGGGGTCCCTTCTCTTCCCACAGCGCGGCTGTCGGTATCGGCTTCTACGGGAACAGCGAGACCAACGACGGGGTTTATCAGCTGCTCTACGCCCTGGACCACGCCAACCACACCCTGAACGGCATCGACTCGCTGGTAGGGCCACGGGGCAGGGTCCCCCCCATCTGACCCCCACCACAACCCCCAGGGTCGCATTGATTCTCCACCTGGGGTTTGATTAAAGGACTGGGAAGGGAGGCATCTGGCTGGAGGGACCCAGGCGTCCTGTGCTGCCAGCTGAGCCTTGCCTTCTGCGGCCAAGCCCCTGGGGCGGCCATGCCGCGCCGAGTGCGGGAGGGTGACGTCACCCCACAGAATGGAGCCTTTGTGGCCGGGAAGGGCTGTGGGGGCCGTGGCAGGGCTGTCCCGAAGGATGGATCCAGCTCGAGCATGGGGGGGGGGGGGACATGGGACTGCTCTCCTGGAGGGTCGGTGTCCCACGGACAGGGTGAGCGGCTCCACCGGGTGCGGGGCTGATGGCAGGGAAGCCCCTGGCGCCGTCCCAGCGGGGCCGACCGTCCCACCGTCCCCAGGTGGCAGGCACCACGCTGCAGATGCGGGTGGGCTTGGAGCAGCACCTGGCGCGGCTGAACGAGCTCCTGGCCGCGCGAGGGGACTACCTGCAGACCCTCAAGTTCATGCAGCAGTTGGCCAGCAGCATCGCCCTCCAGCTCTCGGGGCTGCCCGTCTGGCAGGGCACCAGCACCGATCTCACCGAGCTGGCCGGCCACGTTGCTTACGTCGAGTATTACCGGTGAGCGGGGCCACAGCACTGGGCTGCCGGGGCATCTCCTGGTGGGGCTGGGGAGGTGGACACGCGTGACGGAGCCTTCCTCTGCACCCAGGTGGTTGGCTTATCTCCTCTTCTTCATCCTCGTCCTCACCGTCTGCCTCCTGGCCTGTCTGGGGCTGGCCAAGCGCTCCCGCTGCCTCCTCACCACGTGAGTACCCTGTGGCCAGGCTCGGCGGTGCCGGAGCCGCTGAGAGCGGCAGAGCCGGACCCCGTGGTGTGCTCACCCCTCTCCCCGCAGGATGCTGTGCTGTGGGCTGTTGACGCTCATCCTCAGCTGGGCTTCCATGGCTGTGGACACGGCAGCAGCGGTGGTAAGTGGGGCTGGGAAGGGGGGGGGGTACCAGCTGTGCCGGGACAGAGCCGAGGGACCCGTGCCATCCTTCCCAGCCTCAATGATGTCCCTCCCGTCCTCGCAGGGCACCAGCGACTTCTGTGTGGCCCCAGATAAGTTCATCATGAACCAGACAGAGAGTGACATCAGCGCAGGTGAGAGCCGGCTGCAGGGTGGAGATGTGCTTGGGGTAGGACCCCAGTGCTCCCCCAAAACCTTCCTGGGGGTCCGGTGCTCTCTGCTGCCATTCTGCCACCCCTACGCTGCTCTCTGCTCCCTGAAACGCTCATACCGATGTCTCTCGTTTGCTTTGCAGAGGTGGTTCACTATTACCTGTACTGTGACCAGAGCCTGAGCAACCCCTTCCAGCAGGTACGGGGGACCTGGGCACCCCGCTTCGTGCTGCCTGGGGCAGGGGGTGTCCCCAGGGGCTGGGCAGCTCTGTGACTGCTCCCCACTCCCCCCCTGCAGGCTCTCACCGTCTTCCAGCGCTCGCTCACCACCATGCAGATCCAGATCCAGGGCCTGATACAGTTTGCTCTGCCGCTCTTCCCGACCGCTGAGGTACAGGGTGGGGGGAGCTGGGGCCCCGTGCTCCCCCTCTGCTCCCCATCTTGCCCAGCACTGCCCTAACCCCCACCTCTCTCCCACAGAAAGACCTCCTGGGGGTCCAGCAGCTCCTCAACTCCTCAGAGACCAGCCTGCACCAGCTCACAGCCATGCTGGACTGCCGGGGGCTGCACAAGGTGAGGAGGGGGGACTGGGACAGGGGTGTGCAGCTCCTGGGGTCACCCCCCCCACCATCGCCAGCCCTGCCCCATCCCATCTCCCGCTGCAGGACTACCTGGACGCCCTCATCGGTATCTGCTACGACGGGGTGGAGGGTTTGCTCTACCTAGTGCTCTTCTCCCTGCTGGTGGCCGCCTCCTTCTCCACCATCATCTGTGCCACGCCGCGTGCCTGGAAGCACTTTGCTGGCAGGTGGGTCTGCCTTCACCGGGGGGCACGGGGGCTGCGTGCGTGGCATGGGAGCCAGGCACGGGGCGGGGGAGGAGTTGCCTTTGGGGCCGGGGTGGGTGAGCGCTCGCACCTTGTCCCCGCAGGGACCGGGACTATGATGACATGGACGAGGAAGACCCCTTCAACCCACAGGCGCGTCGCATCGCCACCCACAACCCGGCCCGGGGGCAGCTCCGCAGCTTCTGCAGTTACAGCAGCAGCCTGGGCAGCCAGAGCAGCCTGCACCCCCCGGCGCAGACCATCTCCAATGCCCCTGTCTCCGAGTACATGTAAGACCCCTTTCCTCCAAGGCGCTGACCCTTGGGTGTCCCCCCAAATCTTGGGGATGGAGCATCACCCCACACTGGGGGCACAGGATGATGGTGAGGGTCTCGCTACGCCCCTGACTCTGACAGGCTCTCCCCCTCCAGGAACCAAGCCGTGCTGTTCGGTGGAAACCCCCGCTACGAGAACGTCCCCCTGATCGGCAGAGGCTCTCCTCCTCCCACGGTACGGTGGACGGCCGAGGCCAAGTCCTTCTTGTGATGCCCCACGTGCCGGGGTGGGGGGTGCTTAGCCGGCTGGAGCGGAGACCCTCTGCTTTGCCGGAAAGCCGCTCGCCTGGGGCACTGACAAGGTTTGCCGGGATGGGGACAGGGATGGGTGAGCTTGGCCCCCTCCTCCTGCCCTTGCAGAGGACGTGCCCTATCTGTGAGCGCATCCCTCCTGCCCGTCTTGCTAACCCAGTTCCCAGCCGGCCCGCGGAGGCTGTGGGGAGAGGTCACCAGCCACGTGCTCAGAGGAGACCAAAATAGTCTTCCCTTCAGCTGCTCTTCCTTGCTTTATTTCTTATTTATTCTGGCTTTCGAAAGATGTTTGTCACAGTCACCCGTGCATGTTTACATTTCCCTGCTGTTTGTTTAAACCCACCCTGTCTGTTAATGCCTGCTTTATTTCTTTTTCTTTTTTTTCTTCCTTTTTTTTTTTTTTTTTTGCATCAATTATTTTGGAGCTAAGTTGCCCATCAAGAGTAAGTTCACCCACTTCCTTCTTCCTCCTCATCCCGGGGCAGCAGCTGGGATCCCATCCTCCTTCCCCTCCACGGTGCCTCCCTTCGTCTCCTTTCCTGTGGGGCTGGTTTGCTTTCGGGAAGAGAGCGGAGGGCTCGGGAGGGACGGGGCCACATTTTGTCCCCAGCCCAGGTACAAGAGGATTTGAAGCTCCCGTGCGTTGGGAGTGGAAACAGTCCCCGTCTCCATCCCCTTTCTCGGCACAGTTTTTCCCCCTCCTTTTCTGACAGCATTTAATCTGCTTCAATGCCTCTACCCAAAGCAGTAGTGCCCCTCCCCCCCCCCGGCTCAGCCCTCACGGGCATGGCAGCGGCACCACGGTGGAGCTGGGGACACGGCTCCAGGCACGCTGCTACAGCAGGGACATCGTGCTCACCTCTTCTGGGGAAGATTTTTGCCATCAGGTGAAAGCGTGGAGCCGCGCCAGCGCGGGAGGCTGTAATCCGATTGTGCAGACCTGGCAGCTGGCAAGCCTCTTCCCTGGGGGGGATGAACACGACGGGGATTAATTTGAGCAATTCTCCCCACCCTGAATGGTCTAATTTAACCAGGATTCAGATCCCTGAGGAAGGACTTTCACGGTCCAAAATAACAAACTCGGAATAATCTTCCTTAATGCCTGGCCGGGTGTCCCTCCCTTCTGTAAAATGCTGGAGAAATTTAATTCTGCAGCGTTGGCAGGATGTGGGGGGGCTGGAGGTTTTGGCCTCTGCCCTGGGCTCGCTGCTACCCCCTTCCCAGTGCAGCGAGGGGACCTTGCCCTGACGGGGGAGCCCCGGGGTCATTCAGCCTGCAGCGACTGCCAGCGCAGGCACCCGGTGAGCACCAGCACACCCGAGGTAAGGTTTGTGTGTGGACAGGGAAGATCAGGGGGCACAACCCAGCTCAGCTGCCGTAGAGACCCATCCTGCTCCACTGCCGTGCCAGCCCAAGCCGGTGCCTGGGGTGCCACCATCCCCATGCCGGTGCAGGGAGGGGAGCTCAAGCCCGTGGCTGGCATCCCGGTGTGAGCCCCTCGGGATCGGATGCATCCAGATGCGGTGATTGGGGCTGAATTTGCCGCCAGGCTGGAGTCAGGAAGGTGGAAGACGAACCTGGCCAATGTCCCAGCAGCGTGGGAAGGGACAAAGCACAGCATGAGGCACTTGAAGCATCTTGGCTGGGGCAGGGGGAGGGTGTCTTCTTTTCTAGCCCTCAAAAAGCTGTGACCCAGGGTCTGGCCCCCTTACCCACGACAGCCTGGCAGATTAATTGGGGATTAATACAAATGGGAAGCAATCTTCTCTCTTCATCCTCGGGCTTTCTCTGGCAGCTCAGCAGCACGTGGCAGTGCAGGGGTTGGGTAGGATGTGGCTGGTGGGGGCTCGGCAGGGGCACGCTGTGGGTTGGGGGTGCGCTGACCCCCCCGTGTCCTCTCCCTGCAGTACTCCCCGAGCATGCGAGCCACCTACCTGTCCGTCACCGATGAGCACGTCAGGCACCACAACAACACCGAGTTCCCAGCCTAACGCGCTCGCCCCGAGCAGCTTGCGGGAGGAGAAAATGCCACCGGCGTTTCTGTAACGGGAAACCAAAGACACCTGGAAAAGATGCGGTGGGAAGCCCGGCAGCAGCGGCCGGAGGACAAACCCCAGCAGTGGGGAGCCCTGTGTCCCCCGCATGCTCTGCGCACCCTCCTCTTCCCCCCTTGGCAGCTTCTGCTCAGTCTCAAGTCTTCCTGCCTTACGGCCAACAGCGACTCCGGGGCCAAACACCAGCCGGTAGCAGGGCAGTGCTGCGACCGAGCTCCTGGTGTGCCGGGAAGACCGGAGACGCTTCATGCCCCCACGTCGGCTTCTCCTTTCCCTTCCCGTCTGCACCAGCTCGGGGATGTTTTACGCCACAGAGGGAAGCCTTCTCCAGTTCCCTCTGCCTGGAGTGCAAAGCCTGGGACCACGGGCTTGCCCCCAGCACCAGCCCCTCAGGCAGGGGTCCGGGGCAGTGGCTCCTTCACTCCGTAGCAATGCAGTACCAACCACTAGTGATGCCAGCCCCTTCCTGATGCCCACGGGCAGTTTTGCCACCCGCCGACGGTGACACCGGCTGCTCCCCTCTGCCATGCTCCTACTCCGCACGGGCAGAGCCGGCTCCCCGTGCCCCCCTCGCTGCCTCCCCCCTGCCTCAGCTGGAGCTGCCTTAGCCCTAGGTTCAGAGGCTGTAGAATTAGGGATGTTTTGGCCTTGCTGGTTTTCCTTTGCTTTGCTCCTGGGTTTTACGAATTCTCTGCAGGGCCGAGGCGCGGTTTGACTCGCTGCTTCTGTTCCAGCGTGGTTTTACTGCAGTGCATGTTGGTAGCAGGTTATGGGCTGGTTTGTAGGCTCAATTTGGCTCCCCAGGGCAGGCGGGCTGGCTGGCAGCATGGGCTGGGGCAGGTTCCCCTCCTTCTGCAGGACAGCCCTGGGGTAACCATGAATCCCCTGGGAGAGGGTTAGGGACTACTCAGGCATCCCTGGGGCAGGATGCGGCCCTGGAGAGGGGAGGGGATGGTCCTGCCACCCTGGCTGGCTTGCACAGCATTGCCAGGGCTTCAAGCTAAGTAGCTCTGGGGGCCAAGGAGGCAGGGGGAAACAAGCACGAGCCGAAACAGATCCTTTGTGGCTGCCCATTTCAGCACAGGCTGCCCCTGGAACCTCAGCGGGATGCAAGCAAAGGCCCCTTCCCCACGGCAGCCCCTTGCTTGCCGTGGAGCAGGGAGAGCCCCTGCTCCATCCCACTGACTAGGGATGGACCCAGATCTCCCACCCGAAAGGGTGCGGACAGGGTGATGGATGTTTTCTTGCCCACTCATCCTTCTGGGCCATCTCCCCCCGGAAACCCAGGACGAGTTCAGCTCTCATAACCACGTTTGGCACCACGGCAGTGGCTTAGCCAGGGCTGGGTTCACTCCAGGGCTCTTCCTCACTGCAAAGGTTGTACCCACGCCGTGGGAGGGCAAAGGCTTTCCCTGGCTGATTGCAATTAGCAGCTACCTCCTGTGCTGCTGGTGGTGGCTATCCATCCCTTCTTCCCTGCTTTGGCTAACAGTGCTGCAGCCAGGCAGACCCCTGGGGTGGCCAGGTTGTCCCCCTCGGGCGAGCCAGGGGGTCTTACTTGATAGCAGTGACTCACTGTGTCTTTTAAAGATAACTTGTACATACCCTTCAGTCCCCTAACACCGTCTGTCTCTGTTATGTGTGACTAGCATTACTTGCTGTTGAAAACTTCCAGGGGATTTTTTTTTTTTTCAGCTTTTAATGTTTTGATGTAACGGTACTGGTAGAAGAGCTGTTTTTTAAACGCATGTGAACTAACCTCATTAGGACTCCATCTAGGAGCTGGAGTCCGGCCTGATTTGTATGTGTCCTCTGGGGAAAAGACAATAAACACTTGTACTAAACTTATCTCCTCCTTGCTGGCTTCTCTGGGCTGACCTGCATCTGCTGCCCCTGCTCAGGCTGCTCTGCCCATCCTGGAGCGCCAGCTCTGCCAGGCTGGGAATCTTCATGGCCAGCACAAACACCTTGCTGCAAGCACCGGTCCCAGCATTTCTTTGCAGTCAAAGCGGTTTTTAATTGGGCTTAAATCCCCTGGCTGCGGCTTGGACTGGTTTTGGCTGTGACAGGAGCTGGGGGACGACTGGAGCCATTTCAGGTGCGTCAGTGCTGGCGAGCGGAGGGGGGCGCGGGCTTTGGGGGTGCAGCGTGCGTGGACGCGTGCCCTCGGTGGGAATGGAGGATGGTGCTGGGGCTGGAAGGCGACCGTAGGGGTCTTGGGTGGGTTGCACCCTGGGAAAGGGCATTGAGAGCTGCATCTCGTGCTCCTTTCCCACCCGATCTCCCATCAGAGCGAGCCGGACCCCGCGGTTTGGGTGACACGGCATGAGCGTGGGTATGCGGGGAGCAGTGCCGTCTCCTGGTGCCAGCTGCCGGCGGGCACCGGGCGAGGTGCTGGACCCCCCAGGACTCCGCAGCAATGGCTGTGTGCAGCAGCCCCGGGGAGGGGGGGCAACTCATGCCAGCTGCAGGGATGTCGTGGCTCCCTCGGGATCCCGGCCTGCTCCTGCAGGAATGGAATGGCACAGCTTTCCCTCCTGGCAGAGGGCTGGGGTCGGGGGGGAGCAGAGAGGGTGGGCCTGCTGTGGGGCTGGGGTCACCTCGCTGGGGCTAGAGGGAGCAGGCCATGGCCCACCCAGTCCGTCTGTGTCCCCCCCAGCGATGGGGCCCAGCCTGGTTTCCACCCCACACAGTCGGGGCGTGGGGCTGGAGCTGGCAGCAGAGCCACTGCCCCCTGTGCTAATTGCACCCCCCCTTCATTAGCCAGCTGTTGCCCTCCCAACATGGCGGCAAGCGGCGGCCGTCACTTGTAACCCCCGCCTTGCCCTCCCCAACATGGCGGCGGGCGTCACGTGATCTCCCTCCAGCGTTGCCAGGCAACGGGAGACGCGGCCCTACCAGTGGCTCCCAGTAAGGCCGCGCTGGGAGAGGCCAGTCCCCACCCGGACACCTGGGTCCCTGGGAGGGGGGCTGGGGTGTCCCCTGCCGCGGTGGGCCCTCCCTGAGTCCCCCTCATCCCTTTTGGCACCCACACACACACACACACACAGCAGGACCCCCCCAGGGCCGGGGGGCTGAAGAAGCCGCCATGGAGATCATGTACGTGTACACACGGAAACGCAGCGAGTTCGGCCGGCCCTGCAGCTTCTCCGACCGGCCGGCCGAGGTGAACGTGGACATCCCCCCCGACCCCAGCATGGCCAGCAGCTTCATCCTGAGGAACCCCGTGGACAGCTACGTCCAGCACACCAGCGACATGTCGGAGCACGAGGTGAGGGCTGCCCGCTAGCTGTCGAGGGCCTCCCAGGCTGCCGCTCTGCAGGGCGGCACCGTACAAAGGGGGAAAAGGGGCGTTTAGGGCCTTTTCAGCTCAGATTCTCGCTCTGCGCCAACCCCCAGGTCAACACCGAGCGGGTGGAGGTGGAATCCCGCGGCGTCAACCACGTAGAGGGCGGCTGGCCCAAAGACATCAACCCACAGGAGGTGGAACAAACAATCCGCTTCAGGAAGAAAGTGGAGAAAGACGAAAACTACGTCAACACCATCACGCACCTCGGCACCGTAAGGCTCTGCCCGTCCCTCCTCCTCCCCTCACGCTCCCAGAGCCCCCTCGCCCACCCACTGCCAGTTCCCTCACCTAGGCAGCTCCCCAGAGGCACAGCCTCTGCCTGTGCTTTCCCTGCAGCTGATGGAGCACTGCGTCAAGCAGAACAATGCCATCAACATCTACGAGGAGTACTTTGAAGAGGAGGAGATGGTAGAGGTGGAAGACGAGCCCCCCTCCGCAAAAACCATCAATGTCATCAGGTAGCACAACCAGCTGGGGTCACCAGGCTCTCCAAATCCACAGTAGGCTACTGCAGATTCAACTGCCTTTGGAGACAAAGGAGGTGGAAAACCCAGTGGCTTTAGGATAGCGCTGGAGCAGTCTATGGATGGAGAGACCTGCTGCAGCCCCTCCTTACTCCATAACTCCATCTGTTCCTCCCCTCCCTGCCCTCCACCCTGCCCAGGCACTTTGGAGATAGGTACCACGGGGCAAGGACAGACGCAGCTCTGAGCATCTTCTAACAGCGCTTTAGACAGGATTTTTTTTTTTTTTTTTCCTGCCTCAAAGATTATTTTCAAATGTCGGGGCTGTTAGGTCATTTCTAGAAGTCAGATCCAGTAACATAATTGGATTCTTAGAAACATATAACTGGAAAGACTTCATTAAATCATCAACTCTTCTCCCCCCCCACCCAACCCCCAAGAGAACCATTTCCTGCACTCGATGCTCAAGGGCTGCATCTTGTTTTAATTGCGATTCCCACAGTTTCCTTTGGGAGACTCATCCCAGGGTGTGACAAAGCTGTTAGCAAACTAACATCTTTCTTTGATGTCCTGCTATCAAAAAGGGATCCAAACGTAACCAAGAGGACAGCCACACATCTCTCCTGGCACCCTGACACATGCAAGAAACTGGCAGTGGCTTATTCCAGCCTGGAGTTCCAGCAAAACATGAAAAACATGAGCTTTGACTCATACATCTGGGACCTTGGTAAGGGGAAGGGAAAACTCACCAGTCAGTAATGCTGCCGCTGCGGAAGCACTTTGTGGCTTCAAAGAGTGTAATGAAGCCACACAGCACTCCAGAGGGGGTGAACAGGGGTTTGGTTTCTGCTTTGCCCACAGATCAATACAGAGAAGGGGAGAAATGGGACCTGAAAGCTGGCCAACAGGTGGAAAATAACTACTAAAATCCCACTACATGACTTCATGAGCTAGAGTGCCTGTGACCACAACAGGCAGCTGAGCCACACTCCTCTTATGGGGTTCTTGTCTTTATATGGTTCACTTGTGCTTGAAGAAAGAGGCAGCACAAGCCCAGGCTGAGAATTGCCCTGTTCTATCAAAGACTCTCTCAGACCTGTTGTATTTTGGAGTGAAAAAAAAGAAGAGGGTTCAGGGTACCAGGGCTTGGGGTACCAGGGGTCTGTCCCCAGGCTGGCAGGCAAGGACAGGTCAGCTCCCTTTCCTGGCTAAGGTGAGGCATCCTGGTGATGTGGCCACCTCATCCAGCACGGCTGGGCAAGCACCAGCGTGGCAGGGAGCTAGGTGTGGAGCAATGGGGTGCGGTATCGGGAGGCTGGCTGGTTTAGAGGCAGGGGTGCTCGCCCTCCAAACTGCCTTTGCGCTTTGCTCTTTACTCATCCCTTCTTGGCAGAAAACCCCAACAAGCCGGAGCTCGTTCTCAGGCCGTCATCCCCTCTTGTGAGCCTGGAATACAACCCCAAAGACTCGCACGTCCTGGTGGGAGGATGCTACAATGGGCAGATGGGTAAGGATGATGGATTAGGCATAAGGCCGTACTAACGAGAGCCTGGCTTCATTTTAATTCGGCAAGAGCCTGGTTCCAGCACTGCTACACTCACAAAGGACATAGTGTCATTCGTGCTGCGACTGGGAATATCCCGCGCACGTCCTGAAGCCTTGGGGCTTTGCGTGCGGAGGACAGGCATGTGCTCACCAGAGCAGGTACCCAGGGAGGGGAGAACACCATGCCTGGGAGCCCTTCACAGGCACTTGGGGCAGCGAGGCGGCTGCAGCCGCAGTGAGATCCCAGCAGGGATTGTTGGATCAGACGGCTGAGCAGCATGCGTGCTGTGCTTCCTCCTCACCCGCGGCCCTGTATCTTTGCATGGCAAAAGCCCAGGAGAGTTGCCGTCGTTTCGTGCACTGCATTGTTCTTGTGCTGTTTTTTCAAGTGCTTGGAAGAGGGCCCCTCTTTGCCAGCTTCATTTATGGCTCTGTTATTTACTGGGCCACGTGAGCCCTTTGACTTAATTGCACTCATTTTGATGTTTTCCTTGCCATTTGCAGCAGCAATCAGATCTGACAGGGCATGCATTATGGGGCTGTTACTGCACACTCTGCAGGTGATGGAGGGGAGGGATCTCACCCCATCCTTCGCAGTGCTCCCCAGGCGCGTGGCATGGGCCCAGCGGAGCACACACCGTCACATCCAATTGCCTAATTAGAAGTAAGCAAGAGGGACCGTGTGCGGCTCGGTGCCACCGCGGACCAGCTGCCTAACCTTTGGTGAACCGTGGCCAGTCCTGCGCTGTGGCTTGCCCTCTGCCACGTGTCAGAGGCAGAGATAGGGAAGGACGGCTGCTGCTGTCTGCAGGGGACCTGTCTTCGTTAGCCAGCACCCTGCGGGCACGCAGGAGGGGAGCACAGCCGGGGTCAGCTCACACAGGCTGGTTTTTAGCAGCATCGAGCCTAAGAGCCGCTGTTTGGAGTTGACAGGGGACTGGGGGCTGCTTAGACCATGTCTGCTCCTGCTGTAACCCCTTGTGCAGAGCAGGGGGGAGCCGGGGGGATTTATTGTCTCTGGGGATTGTAGTGCATCTGCCA